AAAAAATATAGAAATTAAATGAAAATTGTTCGAAAAATTATCCCACTAAATTTGCCCTTGGCAAATTCTAAGTTTATGTCCACGTACTTTTTTAGCATTTGCTTCTGTATATCCGAAATTCCTCCTATTTTCTAAAAATTAGTGAACAATATTTATTTTAATCTTAAATAATTATAAATATAACATTACTTTTTCATTGTTTCATATAATTCATGTTTAAATTAAATTTTATTTACTTAAAAATTTCCTTTCCGCACCGTTTTAAAATGTGAGTTTTTTTGACAGTTCATGTGAGAAACTTCTCACAAAATTTTCTTACAGAAACACTTTTACTCACAAATTTCCAATAACTTAAGTCAAAAAACATAAATGACAGATAGTTCTCACAAAATTTTCTTACAGAAACACTTGCATGTGAGAAATGATATTTTCTTTCAATTCACATTGTTTTTTCTTCAATTCCACTGTTTCATGCGAGAAACTTCTCGATGCGAGAGTTACAGAAACGAGGCACAGGACTTCTAAGGACTTACGATCCACAGCGAATCGAAAGTCCTTGCCAGTATTCTCCTTACAAACCAGTGAGTTCACATGTCTCCATTGGTCTGTAAGAAGACTACCATTCTGTTTGGCCAATACTGCCAGTATGGTTTGCACCGTTCTTACGGGTGGTGGAATCCACACTGTTACTATTGACCGTAGTGGCAGTTCGGAAGCCTGTATCACCTCAAGCTTTGCTGCTGGGTTAATGTCGCTACATTTGCCAATTGCCGATTTTAAGAATTCCAAGGAGTTCTTGTTTCCGCAATTGACAACCTTCACGCCCTTAACCCAGTCTGCACCATTGAAGTATACATCCTCCGGCCCACCCTCAAAGATGGCGATTTCATCAATCAGCCTACCTTCAATTGATTGCCAGAAATCGGTACTGATCCTCCCATCTGGATCATTCCGATCAATGACTGCCACTTGAAGGCATACATCCAGGCTAGTTGAGTTCTTTACCTTCTTACTGGATGAAGAGGGTTAATCATCACCAGATCTGGCTCTCTTAATTGTCTCCTTATGGGGACCTTTAGGAGCGCCAGCCGGGGATGGACCAGACCTCATCGTTGTGCTAGGTGACTTTGACACCACTGGTTTGGAGGGTCGGTCACTACCGGATCCCTTTTCCTTACTGACGTTCTTGCGGAGGTCAGTAGGAGTGCGGGACAGAAGTTTACCGGTCCTCTTTACCTTACCTGGTGTCGTGTCCACCTTGCTAGGGTTTTTGGATGGTAAACCTTTGACCTCCGCAGCTCGCTCCGAAGACATGAGCGCCTTGGTTTCCGGGATACCACCCTCTTTGCCTTTTGGCAGACTGCAGGTTGATGTTGCTATCGACCCATCACTCTTTTGAGTGTTAGTCGGGTTGATTGCAGCATCCACCTGTTGTCTCCAGGGAGTGGACCAACCCAGAACGTCACCAACGGGGCCGTATATTCTCTCGAATTTAGCGACGCTTTGTCGGTGCCTTCTGAGCAGGAGCCTCTCCCTTGACGAGAAATTTGAAGAATCAGCCTTTGCCTTCTTAGACAGAAAGGCGAGAGACCTCAAAGTCCCGTTCCTTGCCTTCTCCTCCTTCGTTCGGCCTGTATAATTAATATCTCGTGGAGGGGCACTTGGCTTCTCCTCCACGGCTACTTGCCGAACGACCTGTGGACGGTCTTCTCCCAAATGACCCCTTTGGATCCTCTTGGCCTCTTTAGCAGGGGATGTTATCTTAACAGTCTGACTGTCAGCAAGCTCTTCGTCGGACAGAGATAAATTCCCCAGCTTCTGTGTGGCACTAGTTTCACCAAAGGAGTCACTTGACACCTCCAGAAGACCCTCTACGTCTAAGTCGGTCAGTACCTGTCCTTCATGCTCAACAATTCTGGCATGGAGGTCAGTAAGGGTAACGTCACCGTCCTCCCATGTACTGTCCAACTCCCCATTATCCTCGTTGACCGTGACGTCCGGATTGTCTTTCCCTAACAGGTCGACCACCCCTTCCGTCGTGTCCCTACTCTCATCCTTTTTTGTTTTTATGCTTGGTTCCTCTATTTTGAATCCCACGAGTGTGCACGTACAGACGGACGATCCACGCAGTGACGGCTTACGTGGACTAGGCAACTACGTTACAACAGCGCTTTACCATGACGCTGAGGGGAGCTGTTAGCAACTAGCCTCTTTATGCACTGGCTAGCCATCCAGGCCCTACACTCACCTTGACCTTAAAAGTGCCTATATAACGCTATGTCTAACGGTAAAGCCCTTACTGCTCAAAGAGCCAAATCGAATAACATAGCGTATCATCTATGTCATGATAGAAGGAAGTAGGATTGACAGACACATACCACACTCACTATCTTGCCAAGATGAGTAACCTTTAGTTATACACTTCTTTGAAACCATAACTTCCTGTGGCTGGATACCAAAGCATTAGTCACAGTAAGCTATAGTCATGATGTGTACTTAAGCCCTCGCATCACGACAAGATAGTTACCCTTGGCGAAGGGTAACTAGGGGCTCTTAAATCGTCGAATTTTTAAGCGATATCCATTTTAAATAATACGAACTATTTTGAGGAGATTTCTCGTCTTGCTCTCATCAGGGTCACCCCATAGGATCTTCGTGGTTCTACCCACTGTTTCATTATTCCAAGAGGCCTTATGGGATTCTCTCACCCATATTTTTAGTTCAGCTTTTGTTGCGTCGAATGGTTTCGCGTTTGTCAGGTTAACTGCCTCCAGCTCCCTACCCTTTAAAGCTATTACATTCGCCCTTTCGTTACCGACTACTCCCGAGTGGGCTGGTACCCATATTATGTGAACCTTACCTCTGGGAGAGTATTCAGTTAAAGCTTTCTTACAATCCAATACGGTCTTAGATTTAGTTCTATTGACTGATATCGCCCTAATTGCCTTCTGGCTATCGGTAAATATATTAAGCGCTGTGGGCGCCATATTTATTCTAATCCAATTTGCGCATTCCGTTATTGCTCGTACTTTTGCCTGGAAGCTTGTGTTATGATTTGGTAAACGGTGGTATATTTCTGTTTCTGGGTCTTCAATATGGAACCCCAGCCCCACTTTGTTCCCCAATTTAGAGCCATCCGTGTAACAACGGATTCCTACTGGTATTTGCTCTAATGTTCCGCTTGGCCAAGACATTCTATCTGGGATCAGCGTTTCAAAGTTTCCGACATTTTCTGTGTCTGGTATAGGATCAGGCACGTCCGATGATTGTGTATAACCTTCTAATGTGTCCAGTATACATTGATGACGTGTCCTATAACCGCTTTTGGCCAGTTCGCCTAAAGTAAAGAGCAGTTCGGCTGTAAGCGCCGCCTAATATCTTAAATATGTTTCAATGGGTGGAATATCTAGCAACGTTTCCAAAGCCTTGGTTGAAGTAGTATACATGGCACCACTTATACCCAAGCAGCATGTACGCTGAACTCTCTGTAGTAGTTTGATATTGCACTTTTTGTCTAAAGCAGGGTGGGAAATTAAAGCACTCCACAAAAACAGCGAAAAATGGCTCAGCGAGCAAATTTATCTTCCGAAATAGTGTCCAGTTTAAAGTCCCGACATCAATACGTAATCTTCTCTATATATATTTAATATTAATCTTTTGATTGCGTATATAAAAACCCCAATCCTGGGGAAGAAGTAATTTCACTGCGATATGGCGATGTAAAACACACATCAAAAATAGTAAAGAATGGTGTTCTGAGCATAACTTTATGTTGATGTAGTGTCCAGCTCAATGACCCGAACCCAATCCAATAGAGAATTTGTGGTGAACCACGAAGAAGCGATTTAAACACTATCAATTTGGTGAGCTTTAGCAGCGAAAAGGGTAAAAATTTATGGAAGTATGAGTTGTTTTAGTTTTGTCTGTTTTTTACTTAGAACTTAATGCTTATTGATTTGAATTGCAATTCATTTTGTTACATATTAAACCTAAAATAAATGACAGAATTTTGTTTGGATTTGCATTATTACATTTATTTTTATTCCATGAGAGGTCCACAAAGTACCAACATGTACTCATTTATGTTTCCTACTGTAAATGTAAAATATTGTTTTTGTATATTAAATAATGATCATTTTATAACGTTTTTTGCTTCTCCTGTAAAACTATGAAAAGTGATTATACGTTATTTTGCATTTTATATGACGATATGTATGAACAAATTTTAAAAATGGGGATTTTCGTGTCAAGTGACCCAACTTTAAAAATCGATGTCTTCTGATGAAGAAATTTGCACCAAGGTTAGTACTATGGGATAGTAGGCCGGACTTTCTTTTAAGCAAAAAAAAAAAAAATATAAATAAAAAGGGCCCACTTTGTAAAAAAAAAAAATAATAAAATTATTTTTTTTTTTGGAATGAATAAAGAAATAGCTATCTGAACTCCTTTGGACAATTTTTGCTAGGACCAATAAGTGAAAAGTTACACTCATTTGAGTAAAACCCTCTATGACCAAAAGGTCCAAATTTGACCCCCTCTAAGTCATGCAGCTCTTGACCGATAGAGCTGAAAATTTGTGTCTGATCTACTATCCAATAGTACTAACTTTAGTGCAAATTTCGTCGAAATCGATATTTTGAGTTGAGTCATTTGACATGAAATTCCCCAAATATATTATCCTTAGATTTTATTACGTTCTTCATATGGAAATATTTACAGGGTTAAAATATTTACAAAATGTTGATGTTATAGCTTTTGACTAATTTCCGAAACTTTTTTTTATTGGTTTTATTCTAGAAAACTATAAAAACAATAAGAATTATCGCATAGCATTAATTATGTATGTGTTTCTATTAAGTCAACCTTGGTAACAAAATATTTTTTTCTTCACTGCTCAGAAGAAAAATGTTTAATTTTTCTCATTAGTGCAATCTGAATTAAAATTAATATACGAGTGATTATTTCTAATAAATTATATTTTTTTCTTTTTTGCTTTTTAGGATTTTTTTGTTTTTTTCTTTTCTTTTCTTTTCGCATAGACAACATATATAAAGTCTTTAAGTTCGAGAATATTTGTTGATTGAGAATAGCTGATTGCGGAATATTCAAGGGTAATGTTTGTCATTACATAAAAAATGCTACCTTTGTTTTCTTTTTCTGTTATCTTTTCAGATTCTGTTTGGTTATATAATTTATTCCTCTTGAGTACAACAAGAAATATATATATTGAAAATAGGACTGTTAATTCCAAATAATTTGTAGATTATTTTATTACAAAAACTATTAAAAAATTTCAAAATTTTTTTTACTTTAAATATTTAATAGAATTGAGTGTATATAAACTAAAATACAAAAGAAACAATTTATATTATATTATTGATATTTTTTGGAATTCTTCTTCGATCCTCATTATTGAAAGGATTTTGGTGTATTTTCTAATCAAAGTTATCTGTTTGCAGTTAGTTGTAAAATGAAATATAAATATTTTAAACAACTTTATTCGCAGTTTTCCGATTATTTTTATTAACATGAAATGGATTTGATCAAAACAAAAGATATCTTTTTAAATACATATGTACATGTATGTATATGTATGTGTGCATTCCAATTATTTTTACGCAGAATGGAAAAACCCTATACAAAATTTTTAAAATTAATAAAAAAAACTAATATTTTATAAGCTATAATTATTATTTTTAAATAAACAATATCAGACCAAAAAAGGAATAAATAATCGCATATGATACAAGGATACAACAACAAATTAAATACAGTTTTGATCGAAACAAAAGCACCACATCAGATTTATCTTTAAAGCAATTCTAGCTATTAAACACTTTTTATTTGGTAGTTCTTATTCGTCACACTTTCCAGCAGGCGGGGGACCTTTTGCAGTAAAATGTTTTTTTCTTTTAAGTAGAAATTTTAAATACAAAAGTTCGTAACTAGGTATCTATCATGTTTTATATATTTAGGTAATAAATTGGCGGAATAGCAAAATGGATATGTCACATTTGTATATAGCTGACTAGAAAAATAAGAGTAGCTTTTCCGTAAAAAGTAAATATGAAAAATTCTAAAAGGGGGTTTTAATATACCCAGTAAACAATTTTTTCAGACATGTCTGATGTCAGAAATTTTCTGAAATAATTCTTATATTTTATCAGAATTTTTAACGAATTTCTAAATTTCCTTTAGACATTTTACAGAATAATCGGCAAACTGTTTGTTAGACTTTTCTGCACATTTTCTGAAGTATTAAACGATTAACATCAGACTTGTCTGCACTGCAATGGCTTAAGAATTATATCCGATAAATCTGCACATAATCTGAAGAGATTTGTTTTTGTAACTTCGTCAGACAATTAAGCGAATAATATAAATTTCCTTTCAGATATTTAACAGAATAGTCTGCAGATTTTCTGATATTTTTTACTAGGTCATTTTGTTCTCATTTTCAGTACTTTTGTAAGAAAACTTTGCGACAACTCTGCACATTATCTGAAGGAAATTTTGTTTTTTTTTAACAAAAACCATGCACAAACCTGTTTCTATTTTGAAATTCGTCAACTGTACTTTAAAAGGAAATTTAATTTTTCTTTTATTTTATTTTCTTACTTCGTCTTTGGAAAGCAAGTAAACAACATCTGCATATGAGATGATTATTGTTTAAATTTCTTTAAAATAAATAATATTTGTGTTTGGTAAAAAAAAATAGATGTACATAATGAACTCTATTTTCGTATATAATATGTAAGTAGTATGGTTTAATTTTATTAATTTAAAAAAATATTCTATAAGTTTCTATTTATTTATGTACCCTTAAGAAGTCATGAATAATGGAAGCTTATAAATTATTATTAAAATTAATAAAATTAAACCATAATAAATTATATATATGAAAATAGTTTTCATCAGACATTGATCAGAATAGTCAGGCCATTTTCTTATACTTGATCAGACTTTTGTACGAACTGTCGGACATTTTATCAGACATTTATCCGACATCTATCAGACTTTCTTATACTTGATCAGATTTTTGAACGAACTGTCGGACATTTTATCAGACATTCATCCTACATCTATCAGACTTTCATACGAAATGTCGAAAGAATGTCATATTTCGTACCTATTTCTGACCGAAAATTCTGCACATTTTTCCGAATTTCCTCAGACAAAGAGTTCCGAATTCCGAGCAACCTTTCATACGATTTTCGCAACGAATTCTGGCGGAATTCGGACACGAAATCGGCAACTTGTGCAGACTGTCGGTACGAATTCGGCAAAAATTGTTTAGTGGGTACATAGGTATTTTCCCAGTAAACATTTTTTCAGACTTGTCTGATGTCAGAAATTTTCTGAAATAATTCTTATACTTTATCAGAATTTTTAACGAATTTCTAAATTTCCTTTAGACATTTTACAGAATAATCGGAAAACTGTTTGTTAGACATTTTCTGAAGTATTAAACAATTAACATCAGACTTGTCTGCACATTGTCGAAAGGGAATTTCAGTGTTACGACAATTATGAGACTAATCTGCACATTGGCGGAGGACAATTAAGCGAATAATATAAATTTCCTTTAGATATTTAACAGAATAGTCTGCACATTTTCTGGTATTTTTTGCTCGGTAAATTTTTTTCTTTAATAAAAATCATACACACACCTGTTTATATTTAGAAATTCGTCAACTGTACTTTAAAAGGGAATTTAATTATACCCTACACCACTTTAGTGGGGAGGGTATATTGGGTTTGTGCTGATGTTTGTAACGCACAATAATATTGGTCTTATACCCACCTTAAAGTATACCAATCGGCTCAGAATCATTTTCTGAGTCGATTTAGCTATGTCCGTCCGTCTGTCCGTCTGTCCGTCCGTCCATGTAAACCTTGTAATCAAACTACAGGTCGAAATTTTGAAGATAATTCAATGAAATTTAGTACATGATCTTCTATTGTCCCAGTGACGAAGCCTATTGAAAATGGTTAAGATCGGTCCATTATTTCACCTAGCCCCCATACAACTGAACCCCCCAATAGGGCTTGTAATCCTTGTAATCAAACTACAGGTCGAAATTTTGAAGATAATTCAATGAAATTTAGTACATGATCTTCTATTGTCCCAGTGACGAAGCCTATTGAAAATGGTTAACATCGGTCCATTATTTCACCTAGCCCCCATACAACTGAACCCCCGAATAGGGCTTTTAAAATTTTAATCAAACTACAGGTCGCAATTTTGGAGATAATTCAATGAAATTTGGCACATGATCTTTTATGGTACCGTAGATGAAGCCTGTTGAAAATGGTTTACATCGGTCCATTATTTCACATAGCCCCCATACAACTGAACCCCTCGAATAGGGCTTTTATACTTTGTAATCACACTACAGGTCGAAATTTTGGAGATAATTCAATGAAATTTGACACATGCTCGTTTATGGTACCGTATACAAAGTCTATTGAAAATGGTTAACATCGGTTCATTATTTCACCTAGCCTCCATACGACTGAACCCCCTGAATAGGGATTTAAACTTTTTAATCAAACTACAGGTCGCAATTTTGGAGATAATTCAATAAAATTTGGCACATGATCTTTTATGGTATCGTAGACGAAGCTTATTGAAAATGGTTAACATCGGTCCATTATTTCACCTAGCCCCCATACAACTGAACCCCCGAATAGGGCTTTTAAAACTTTTAATCAAACTACAGGTCGCAATTTTGGAGATAATTCAATGAAATTTGGCACATGAACTTTTATGGTACCGTAGACGAAGCCTATTGAAAATGGTTACCATCGGTCCATTATTTCACCTAGCCCCCATACAACTGAACCCCCGAATAGGGCTTTTAAAACTTGTAATCAAACTACAGGTCGCAATTTTGGAGATAATTCAATGAAATTTGGCACAAATGGCACGACAAAAAGTTGCAATAACCAAGTTGTATACTAGACTTGATGACCCCCACGAATTCCATAATAATAGGTTCTCATATGACCCTAGCCCCTATGCAAAGCCCCCATCAAAATTTCACATAAATGTCCACAATTTTATTCAACAATAAACGGCTTAACAAATAACGGCAATTTTAGAGATAATTTAATGAAATTTGGCACAAATGGCACGACAAAAAGCTGCAATAACCAAGTTGTATACTAGACTTGATGACCCCCACGAATTCCATAATAATAGGTTCTCATATGACCCTAGCCCCTATGAAAAGCCCCCATCAAAATTTCACTTAAATGTCCACAATTTTATTCGACAATAAACGGCTTAAGTATGTATATCTAAGGCAAGGTACAATTAAACTTAAATGCTTTATTATGGCAAATAAATCACATTATATTTTTGACAAAGGTGTAGGGTATTATATGGTCGGCCACGCCCGACTATAATTTCTTACTTGTTTTTATTTTCTTTTCTCAGTTGGTCTTTGTAAATCAAGTAATCAACATCTGCATATATGATGATTATTGTTTAAATTTCTTTAAACTTTGTTAATACACAAAATTAGCAAAAAAAAAATTACATAATTTTTTATGGTTTAATTTTATAATTTTAAATATGTAGATGAATGAACTTTATTTTCGTATATAATACATATGTAAGTAGTATGGTTTATTTTTATTAATTTTAAAAATAATCTATAAGTTTCTATTATTTATTTATGTACCCTTAAGATGTCATGAATAATTGACGCTTATAAATTATTATTAAATTTAAACCATAATAAATTATATAAAAATAGTTTTCATCAGACATTGATCAGAATATTCAGAAAATCTGATAGATGTCGGATAATCATCAAGAAAATGATTATCCGACATCTATCAGATTTTCTTATACTTAATCAGACCTTTGTACGAATTGTCGGACATTTTATCAGACATTTATCCGACATCTATCAGACTTTCTTATATTTGATCAGACTTTCGTACGAAATGTCGAAAGAATGTCAGACATTTGTCCGACTTCAATCAGATTTGTCGAAAATTCTGAAGGAATTCGTAACGAATTCTGACGGAATTCGGATACGAAATCGGCAACTTGTTAGTGGGTTGTTTTTAGGGTAGCGAAGCACACTGGGCATAGTTA